GACGACGGGTGACTTCACCGTGCGAGTGAACGGTAACAACATCGCCCTACCTCGCTGGGGCTCGCCTGAGTCTTCGTCGGTGCGTGTCAACGCGATCACGATGAAACGCGCCGTAGCGGCAAGAGCTGACGTGTACGCGGTCGACATTCGGGAAGTCGAGGCAGCAGACAAAGGAGGGGATTTACAGAAACTGCTGGCCGACGTACCGAGTGATCTGGCAGCACTGATGAAGCAGTACAGCGACATTTTCCTGGATGATTTACCGACGGGACTGCCACCTCAGCGACCGCACGACCACAGGATAGAGTTAGAACCGGGGGCACAGCCAACAGTACAGCGACAGTTTCGACTGACCCAGCCCGAACTGGACGAACAGAGGAAGCAGCTCGATTACCTGCTCGAGAAGGAATTCATTCGCCCTAGTTCGTCGCCTTTCGCAGCACCGATACTGTTCACACCGAAAAAAGACGGGGGATTTCGCATGTGCATATACTACAGAGCACTGAACAGGGTTACCATCAAATCCCGTTACCCCATCCCGCGAGCCGACGAACTGATCGACCAACTGCGCACAGCCCGGGTTTTCTCGAAAATCGACCTCCGAGGGGGTTACCACCAGATTCGCGTCAACCCGCCCGAGTGCCCTAAGACCGCATTTCACACACGCTACGGATCCTTCGAATACACAGTCATGCCCTTCGGACTGACCAACGCCCCCGCCACTTTTCAAATGACCATGAACGAAGCTTTCCGCCCGCTCTTAGATAAGTGCGTCATAGTATACCTGGACGACATCCTGATTTATAGCCCTGACAGAGCACAGCACTTACAGGACATCGAAGCAGTTTTTAAAATACTGAGTGCAAACCGCCCTACTGACAAAAGCGTCTAAGTGTGAATTTTTACAGGACCGCCTGGAGTTTTTGGGACACGTTATTTCAGCCGCAGGAGTGGAAATAGACCCGAAGAAAATTGCGACGATTCAAGCATGGCACGCGCCGACCAACTTGACCGAGTTGCAGAGTTTTCTGGGGTTTGTCAACTACGTGCGCCGGTTCGTCCCCGACATGGCGAAGCTGACTGCCCCGTTGACCGACCTGCTGAGGAAGGGGGTTGAGTACACGTGGGGGGAGAAAGAGCAAGCTGCCTTCTCGGCCCTCAAAAACATTTTGTGCTCACCGCCCGTGCTTCACATCGCAGATCCACACCGTCCGTTCGAGCTCGTCACTGACGCAAGTGACATCGCTATGGGAGCAGTACTGTTGCAGGATTTCGGGAACGGCCTCCAGCTAATCGCGTACGAGTCCCGCAAACTGCACCCGCCCGAACGCAACTACCCGATACACGACCGCGAAATGTTGGCGATCGTGCACGCGTTCAAGGTTTGGCGGTGTTACCTGACTGGCGCCGACGTGACAGTACGGACAGACCACCGATCACTACAGTACTTACGCGCCCAACCAAATCTCAATCCGCGACAAATTCGCTGGCTGGACTACCTCGAGTCCAACTTCCACTACACGGTTACGTACAAGAAAGGCGCATCCAACATCGCCGACGCACTCACCCGCCCTACCGCCCAACTCCACGCCATCCTACTCGCCCAGACCAACCCGCTTTTAACAGGCCTATTCACCCACGGATACCGCACCGACCCATTTTTCACGACCGGAAATTCATAGCAACTGGCAGAAGCTAAAGGAGTTTATTACGTAAAAACAGGCACCAACCGCATCTGGGTACCCGCGTACTCACTACTGAGGGAGCTGCTACTGCAGGAGGCACACGACGGAATTACCTCGGGACATTTGGGGTAGAAAAAACGCGACAGCAAATGCAGCGGTATTACTATTGGCCGGAGCTGTTGACCGACATGCAGCAGCACGTGGGCTCGTGCCCCACGTGTCAGGTGATGAAGAGCTCGAGGAAGCGGAAGGCGGGTCAATTGCAGCCGATACCACCGCCCGAGTGCGCCTGGCAGCAGGTTACCATGGACTTCGTCACAGGGTTACCTTCGAACCCTGGGGGTAACGACGCGGTGATGGTCGTCGTTGACAGGTTGACAAAGATGGCACACTTCGCTGCGTGCACAAAGTCGATCTCAGCCGAGGAGACCGCTCGCCTGTTCATCACAGCCGTTGTTCGCCTGCACGGGATACCAGCAGCGATTATCAGCGATAGGGACACGAAGTTCACCAGCAACTTCCGGAAGAACCTCTGGGAGCAGTTCGGGACCAGGCTACAGTTCAGTTCGTCGTACCACCCCGAGACCGACGGTCAAACGGAGCGGATGAATCAGACGATGGAGTAGTTGATTCGTGCCACGTGCGATGACCCCACGACTTGGGAGCAGCAGCTGCCGCTGATCGAGTTCGCGTACAACAACGCCACGTCAGCGACGGCGCAGCAGTCCCCCTTCTACCTGAACTACGGGCAAAATCCTACAGTGCCCATGACGCCGAGTCCGGACAACCCAACGCCACGTGCACAGCAATTCGCCGAAATTCTGCAAGCTGCCCGTAGCAGAGCCGCAGAAGCAATTAAAAAAGCAAACGCCATCGTTAAGCGCAACGCTGACCGCCACCGCCGCCCAGTCACATACCAGTCAAGGGATTACGTACTGCTCGACACGCAAAATCTACAACTGCCCGACGTACCAAAACTTCGACCGCGCTACTGTGGCCCATTCCAAATCAGCCACATGATCACGCCAGTAACTGCGCACCTACTGTTACCGACCGACTGGTACATCAGCCCTTCGTTCCACGTCAACTTGCTTCGCCCATACATCCCAACCACAAGCCAACTGCCTCGCCACCGCCCGCCAGCCATGACTCGCCCTGCATCGGAGCCGATCATCGAGCCCGAAAAAATCCTGAGCCATCGGATTCGCCACCCCACGGGAATCAGGAGGATTGAATTCCTCGTTCGCTGGAAGGGACCGCACGCCAACTGAGGATAGCTGGGTGCCCCTGGCCAACATCGAAAACCACCCTGCCCTGCAAGTGTACCTGAGGAGCCGGGGCTTCCGCGATATACACGCACTCGCATAGCGGAGGGGGCTTCTTGAGGGGGGGTGTAGTGTAAGGAATTTTCTCGATATTCCTTAGCGCACCCTGCAACATCGCGTACAGCAGCAGCCGTTGTTCGCCCGTTACTGCTAACGGGGCTTCGCCGACTTCGCCCGCACTGTTTCACCAAGCCTCGCACTGCTGGCCTGACCGTGTCGGCCTACGCTTCGGGACTAGCCCGAGCCTCGCTTCCAGCGTAGCACTAGCTAGCTCGCACGTACCGCGTTACCGTTTGCATGTTTCGCATATAAGTGTTCGCTCATGCCTTCGCTCACATTTTGTACTCGTTTGACACCTTAGTGCAATTCTCGCTACTTCGATTCATTGCACCCGTAACAAGTACCCTCAATGCAGTCGCAGAGGAAATCGAACAGCCGATACACAAACAATGAGGGAACACCTGACGAAATGATTCCATCATTTTCAAGGGCCTGGGGCCTGAAATAGTTCGCCTCATTCCAACCAGGGCTGTCGAGGTTGCTGGTCGCGAAACGCCACTCCCCAGGCTGACGCGACCTTGACGAGGCCTTCGCGAGGCCTTTACCGCAACCTTGACGAGCCCTCGGCTCGTTTTCAGCTTCGCGTGCCCTTCGCGGGGCTTTCACGGGACTTTTCACGGGTCCCAAACTCGAGTTCCGGACCCTGTTCTGTTGGCGCACAGGCCATTCGCAGCTGCCGCACAGGTACTGCGGACATCGTTTTCCTCGAAAGGAAGAGAGGGCCTGCAGCCTCGTCGAAGGGTTTGCTAATCGACAAAATAACGACATTTTTTCTTCCGTGTGCCCGAAAAAAATGTTGTTATACACTGCCCTGGCACTCTTTCAAAGTCAAAATTTCGCGAACCGATGCACTGGATGTGGCAGTCTTACTAATTAGCCATTAGATTGTTTTCGGGGTGAGTATTCCACCGAAACAATACCCCAAAACGGGCGTTTATATCTGCCCGTTATTTGTTGTGCGTCTCTTCAATCCCCCCTCGACGAGCGCATAGGGCTCGCACAGGCCATGCGGGAAATTTGCCTGTGAAACCAAGCTCGTGGAAATTTCTCAGCGCACAGAGAGGTCAGCGTTCTTGCGCACGCATGAGTAATGCGCGCACAACTACCGCACCAGAGGTTCGGGAGACAATAACGATTTGGGAGGCTCGACATGGGCTTTAAGCATTGTTATGCGCATTCCGAGAATGTTCAATGCTTGGACTGAGCACCCCTTATGCGCCAACAGAACAGGGCCCCGAAGTTTCTGCACTTTACAGCACCTTGACGGGCCTTTGAACGGAAGTTTCACGGATGAAATCCGAGTCTCTAGGCTTGACTCAGCCTTCACGAAACTTTGACGGGAACTTTGCTGCAGCACTAGGAAATTTCGACCAATCACGTGTGAACACAAATTCCAACCGAGTAATTCAAATGTGTTGCAATTGTGTTGATTACAATGCCTAGTACAAACTTATACTCTACCAAAAGCACACACACAAATTGGTAACCCAAACATGTTTCACAAGCAAGCCCTTGCCCACGTTTCACGTCGCGTCGCACACGCAACCACCCCAACTTCGTCGAACACTCCCGAAGTCCAAAAAACGGGAAACTTGTTGAGCACGCCTCTGTTGACCCACACATTTCTCCCCGTCAAACCCTTTCTTCCCCTTCTAGCCATTTCTCCCCCGTCACTTCTCCTTCACTCCCGTTTCTTCCATAACTTCATCTCCTTTCCCCTTAGCGTAGACCACACGCCAAGCCACTTAGATACTTCTTAGTAATTTCTTCTTGCTTCTTCCACACGCCACCGCCATCAGTCCGCCGTCGGTTCGCGTTTCTCGCCGTCGTTGGTGTGGTTCGTAGAAACCACTCCAACAACCTCCCCTGTGGTTTCGTGAACCACACCTCCACCCGCATCTCTTCTGCTCCTTTGTAGTCCTCATGATGTCTAAGTCAGATTCACACTCCCCTGCAGCTCCTTCTTCTTAAAACGTTGCTTACGTGTCTTGAGATGGACCGCCTTGACGTCCAATCCGCGATAGAGACTCTGGAGCCTTGCACTCCTCCTTGGCCGCTTCACATCATACACTTTCTGAACGTTGTTGCCACCAACTCGAGCTCCCTCCTTGAGTACTCCCTCCGTTGTAGCTGCGTTTTCCACCATTGCCTTCACCACATAGCTTCCTTTTGCAGCTTCGACTCCTTCATTCTCCTTGCACACAGCTTGGTCTTCGATGATGAACGTTGCTGCGTTGTTGACACAAATCACCTCGTTCGGCTTCACCGTTTTCTCCACACGCACATCCTTCTCCTTGATCAACACATCCTCCACATTCTTCACCACATCCTTCTTCACACAAGAAGTCACATCTCCCTTGTCATCAACCTCACCAACCTCAAGGAATGAACTCCCCTTCACTTGCACCTTATAGAACTCATCATCATCATAAACCGTGTCCATGTCGTTGCACGCTATGAGGTTCATCTCATAGAACCCATCATTGTAAACACCATCCGCGTATCTCTCCCACTCAGAACCAAACACAAAAACCTTCCCTTCATCGTAGAATACCTTGCACCCCTTGTCGTCGAGTTGTGACGGACTAATGAGGTTTACCTTTAAGTCCTCCACAAGTAGCACGTTCTCCAACTCCAATCCTCCATCACGACCATGTTGCACCACTTCACCTTCTCCCATAACCGGCAATTTTTCCATTGTTACTGTGAACGGGAATGGAGTGTTGGCCCCGCCCTCGCTTGGGCAACGCCGACGACTTGGTCGGATGTACGGGAGTAGCAGCCGACCGTTTACTGGGGGAGAACTGCTCGACAGGCTTCGTCGAGCTGCAGGGGACCGCTGTGGTGTTGCTGTCGACCAGGGAGCTCGACAGCTACAACTGACTTGTCTGGGCGACGGGTTGGGACGTCGACCAGGACCTACAGCTCGACCGGGGAGGTCTCCGGAGCATCCCGTCAACCTGCCGTTCGACCGAGAGGTGTCCGGAGCATCCCGTCGACCTGCAGTTCGACCGGGAGATCGACGGAGCAGTCCGTCGACCTGACAAGTGAGCAGCGGTCGACGAGGGGAGCTCGGCGACAACCGCTGATGGTTCTGGTCGACGGAAGGGGTCCGTCGACCAGGGGGTAGCTCGACGGGAGTTGTGGTCGACCAGAGGCACCTGGTGGTCGACCGGGTCGACCAGGTAACCTGCTCGACGAGTTCTGCGGAGGCACGCGAACGTCGTCAAGGATGCGATGGCACAGGCGACTGCGGGCTGGTATCCCGGAGTCGATGTGGCTCGTCAGGCGCAGACAACAGCCGACGGATGCCCACGAGGCAAGTCGGGCCAATCGTCTGCGCGCATCTGCGAGCGTGCGCACTGGTGTGTTCTACGGGGCGACGCTAGGCAGCCGCTCTGCTGCAGCGTTGGCACGCCGTCGACCTGCTCTATTGGCAGGTCGCCCTTCTGCAGTGCTGGTGCGGCTCCTCTACGCAACGCTGGCAGGCGGTCGACCGAGCTGTGCTGGCGGTCGACCAGGCTAGCAGCAGGGTTGCTAGGTGCCTGATGTAGTCATTGTTGTCATTGCTTGTTCAATTATTCTGTAATTCCAACTTTGCTAGTGAAAACTCTTGCCGATTTCTCCCGTGAATATGCAAGCACTAAGGAACCAAGCAAAGCTACGATTACTCCTAGTGGTTCGTGCCAACCCCCGTGGTCTAGCTCACTACTGTTGTAGAGTGACTCTCCTCATGGTGCGGTGAGCGTGGACGGCCCCGCAGATTACCTTCAGATAGGAGCCGACTTTTGCACCTACTAAGTCGTTCGTAGGCCGGCAGCCGCGATAGTCACCATGGTTGACCCCGTAGTTGATGCGGGTGTAGCGGACACCTTGGAGACACGCTTGGCTGATGCGAGGAAACGCCACGCGGATGGCGAGTACGGGACGATCCCCTTGCTGATCGTCGAGTTGGGCATCCGGTCGAAGTGGGCGACGGAACACCCTTCCCGTCCTGCATCTCCTCGACCAGTGTGCAACGAGGGTGGCGTCGACGACGAGGTCGACGGTGGTGCACGAGTCAGCGGCAGCGAAGGCACGAGGCAGAGAGGGGTGATCAAGGTTGACGGTGGTGTCGACGGAATCCAGGCGCGAGTGCAGCGGTCGACGGCGGCTGCAGGCAGCTTGCGTGTCGACGTCGATGTTCGACGTCGCTCTCCTCTACGGAGCGGTGGAGGGTACTCGGCGACGACGCATGTGACGGCAGGCGGGATTGCACCGGCGTATAGCTACTTCAAGTTCTCGCCGGACCGGATCACCGTCGCACCACTGCAAGGTCGACGGGACCTCATCACCTGGAGGGAGTCGATCGAGCCTCAGCTGGAGGTCGCCGGGCTGAAGGGCTTCGCCGACGGCACAGTGCCAATTCCGCCCGTGGACGATGTCGAGCTGCGCAGGGAGTTTCGAGCGGCTCACTTGCTCACCTTCATGGTCATCTCGAGGTGCTGCTCACCGGTGGTGCAGCTGGCGCTCAGGAGCTGTCGAGAGCGAGTCGATGATAGTCACCAGGCATGGCACTTCATCATGTTGACGTACCAGGTCAGTGACGACCTGTAC